ACCAAGTGTAAGCAAACAATCACCTCTCATAACCAAGCGTAAGCTAACAATCACCTCTCACAACCAAGTGTAAGCAAACAATCACCTCTCATAACCAAGTGTAAGCTAACAATCACCTCTCACAACCAAGTGTAAGCTAACAATCACCTCTCATAACCAAGTGTAAGCAAACAATCACCTCTCATAACCAAGTGTGAGCTAACAATCACCTCTCATAACCAAGTGTAAGCTAACAATCACCTCTCATAACCAAGTGTAAGCTAACAATCACCTCTCATAACCAAGTGTAAGCTAACATCCACCTCTCATAACCAAGTGTAAGCAAACAATCACCTCTCATAACCAAATGTAAGCTAACAATTACCTCTCATAACCAAGTGTAAGCTAACAATCACCTCTCATAACCAAGTGTAAGCTAACAATCACCTCTCACAACCAAGTGTAAGCAAACAATCACCTATCATAACCAAGTGTAAGCAAACAATCACCTCTCATAACCAAGTGTAAGCTAACAATCACCTCTCACAACCAAGTGTAAACTAACAATTACCTCTCATAACCAAGTGTAAGCAAACAATCACCTCTCATAACCAAGTGTAAGCAAACAATTACCTCTCACAACCAAGTGTAAGCTAATAATCACCTCTCATAACCAAGTGTAAGCTAACAATCACCTCTCATAACCAAGTGTAAGCTAACAATCACCTCTCACAACCAAGTGTAAGCAAACAATCACCTATCATAACCAAGTGTAAGCTAACAATTACCTCTCATAACCAAGTGTAAGCTAACAATTACCTCTCATAACCAAGTGTAAGCTAAGAATCCCCTCTCATAACCAAGTGTAAACTAACAATCATCTCTCATAACCAAGTGTAAGCTAACAATCACCTCGCATAACCAAATGTAAGCTAATAATCACCTCTCATAACCAAGTGTAAGCTAACAATTACCTCTCATAACCAAGTGTAAGCTAACAATCACCTCTCATAACCAAGTGTAAGCTAACAATCCCCTCTTACAACCATCTGGAAGCTAACAATCACCTCTCATAACCAAGTGTAAACTAACAATCACCTCTCATAACCAAGTGTAAGCTAACAATCACCTCGCATAACCAAATGTAAGCTAACAATCACCTCTCATAACCAAGTGTAAGCTAACAATCCCCTCTTACAACCATCTGGAAGCTAACAATCACCTCTCATAACCAAGTATAAGCTAACAATCACCTCTCATAACCAAGTATAACCTAACAATCCCTTCTCACAACCAAGTGTAAGCTAACAATCCCCTCTTACAACCATCTGGAAGCTAACAATCCCTTCTCATAACCAAGTGTAAGCTAACAATCAGCTCTCATAACCAAGTGTAAGCTAACAATCCCCTCTTACAACCATCTGGAAGCTAACAATCACCTCTCATAACCAAGTATAAGCTAACAATCACCTCTCATAACCAAGTATAAGCTAACAATCACCTCTCATAACCAAGTATAAGCTAACAATCACCTCTCATAACCAAGTATAACCTAACAATCCCTTCTCACAACCAAGTGTAAGCTAACAATCCCCTCTTACAACCATCTGGAAGCTAACAATCCCTTCTCATAACCAAGTGTAAGCTAACAATCACCTCTCACAACCAACTGTAAGCTAACAATGACCTCTCACAACCAAGTGTAAGCTAACAATCACCTCTCATAACCAAGTGTAAGCTAACAATCACCTCTCATAACCAACTGTAAGCTAACAATCACCTCTCACAACCAACTGTAAGCTAACAATCACCTCTCATAACCAACTGTAAGCTAACAATCCCTTCTCATAACCAAGTGTAAGCTTACAATCACCTCTCACAACCAAGTGTAAGCTAACAATCACCTCTCACAACCAAGTGTAAGGTAGCAATCCCTTCTCATAACCAAGTGTAAGCTAACAATCACCTCTCATAACCAAGTGTAAGGTAGCAATCCCTTCTCATAACCAAGTGTAAGCTAACAATCACCTCTCACAACCAACTGTAAGCTAACAATGACCTCTCACAACCAAGTGTAAGCTAACAATCACCTCGCATAACCAAGTGTAAGCTAACAATCACCTCTCATAACCAACTGTAAGCTAACAATCACCTCTCACAACCAACTGTAAGCTAACAATCACCTCTCATAACCAACTGTAAGCTAACAATCCCTTCTCATAACCAAGTGTAAGCTTACAATCACCTCTCACAACCAAGTGTAAGCTAACAATCACCTCTCACAACCAAGTGTAAGGTAGCAATCCCTTCTCATAACTAAGTGTAAGCTAACAATCACCTCTCATAACCAAGTGTAAGGTAGCAATCCCTTCTCATAACCAAGTGTAAGCTAACAATTACCTCTCACAACCAAGTGTAAAGTAACAATCCCTTCTCATAACCAAGTGTAAGCTAACAATCACCTCTCACAACCATGTGTAAGCTAACAATCCCCTCTTACAACCATCTGGAAGCTAACAATCCCCTCTTACAACCATCTGTAAGCTAACAATCACCCGCAAACATTGCAAATAATCATGGACTGCTGATTTTGTAGCTTGCCAGACAGATTTAATTTATCACCTCTTACAAACAGTTCATAAAACCACCTCTCACAAACACAGCTGATATTGCCTCCCTCTTTCTCTTTCATGGTTTCTCAACTCCAATGATCATCTCTGACAACCACTTCCAACATCCACCTCCCACAATCACCTCTCACAACCACCTCCATAATCACCTCTAACAACCACCTCCCATAATCACCTCTCACAACCACCTCCATAATCACCTCTCACAACCACCTCTATAATCACCTCTCACAACCACCTCTATAATCACCTCTCACAACCACCTCCCATAATCACCTCTCACAACCACCTCCATAATCACCTCTCACAACCACCTCTATAATCACCTCTCACAACCACCTCTATAATCACCTCTCACAACCACCTCTATAATCACCTCTCACAACCACCTCTATAATCACCTCTCACAACCACCTCCCATAATCACCTCTCACAACCACCTCTATAATCACCTCTCACAACCACCTCTATAATCACCTCTCACAACCACCTCTATAATCACCTCTCACAACCACCTCTATAATCACCTCTCACAACCACCTCTATAATCACCTCTCACAACCACCTCCCCATATATAATCACCTCTCACAACCACCTCTATAATCACCTCTCACAACCACCTCTATAATCACCTCTCACAACCACCTCCCATAATCACCTCTCACAACCACCTCTATAATCACCTCTCACAACCACCTCTATAATCACCTCACAACCACCTCTATAATCACCTCTCACAACCACCTCTATAATCACCTCTCACAACCACCTCCCCATAATCACCTCTCACAACCACCTCTATAATCACCTCTCACAACCACCTCTATAATCACCTCTCACAACCACCTCTATAATCACCTCTCACAACCACCTCTATAATCACCTCTCACAACCACCTCTATAATCACCTCTCACAACCACCTCCCATAATCACCTCTCACAACCACCTCTATAATCACCTCTCACAACCACCTCTATAATCACCTCTCACAACCACCTCCCATAATCACCTCTCACAACCACCTCTATAATCACCTCTCACAACCACCTCTATAATCACCTCTCACAACCACCTCTATAATCACCTCTCACAACCACCTCTATAATCACCTCTCACAACCACCTCCCATAATCACCTCTCACAACCACCTCTATAATCACCTCTCACAACCACCTCTATAATCACCTCTCACAACCACCTCCCATAATCACCTCTCACAACCACCTCTATAATCACCTCTCACAACCACCTCTATAATCACCTCTCACAACCACCTCCCATAATCACCTCTCACAACCACCTCTATAATCACCTCTCACAACCACCTCTATAATCACCTCTCACAACCACCTCTATAATCACCTCTCACAACCACCTCTATAATCACCTCTCACAACCACCTCTATAATCACCTCTCACAACCACCTCCCATAATCACCTCTCACAACCACCTCTATAATCACCTCTCACAACCACCTCTATAATCACCTCTCACAACCACCTCTATAATCACCTCACCTCTCACAACCACCTCTATAATCACCTCTCACAACCACCTCTATAATCACCTCTCACAACCACCTCTATAATCACCTCTCACAACCACCTCCCATAATCACCTCTCACAACCACCTCCCATAATCACCTCTCACAACCACCTCTATAATCACCTCTCACAACCACCTCTATAATCACCTCTCACAACCACCTCTATAATCACCTCTCACAACCACCTCTATAATCACCTCTCACAACCACCTCCCATAATCACCTCTCACAACCACCTCTATAATCACCTCTCACAACCACCTCTATAATCACCTCTCACAACCACCTCTATAATCACCTCTCACAACCACCTCTATAGTCAGCTCTCACAACCACCTCTCACAACCACCTCTATAATCACCTCTCACAACCACCTCTATAATCACCTCTCACAACCACCTCTATAATCACCTCTCACAACCACCTCTATAATCACCTGTCACAACCACCTCCCATAAACACCTCTCACAACCACCTGCCATAATCAAGTGACCAATTCATATAAATTCATATAAATACCTTCCTCATTTACCTCACATAAACACCACACCCGCACCCGCACCCGCAACCAATTCCCACAACCATCACTCCAACCACCATCCACAATTACTCCACAAGGTCCAATCCCACAATCATCCCTAAAAATTACACCCCCTTCCACAACCACCTCAGACCACACCTCATAACATCTGACAGTCATTCCTAACGGTCAACGTCCATAATCACCTCCCACAAAAACCTCCGTCAATCACCTGTCACAACCAAGTCCCACAGTCATCTTCCACAACCATCTCTCACATCTACGCCTAGCCGTACACCCTCCTCATCCAACATCACTCACCTCCAGAACCTGTGGAAGTAGAACATGAACCAGTTGATCCTGCCACCAGCCCGCCTCATCTCTTTCAGTACCAGGAATGTCACTAGCAGCCCACTGGAACATACATGAACAGCGTGGTGACCAGGCAACCTCCACATGCTGCCAGGTGAACAATGGTGATGAGGTGACACACATTTTCATGCCACATCACTTGACCAACATATTATCATGTCATGTTAAGGGGCGACGGGCTAGCTTAGTGGTTAAAGCGTTTGCTCGTCATGCCAAACACTCGGGATCGATTCCCCACATGGGTACAATGTGTGAAGCTCATTTCTGGTGTCCCCCACCATGACTTTGCTGGAATATTGCTAAAAGTGGCACAAATGCAAATGTTACATGACCAACAAGATTTTATGTTATGTCACTCAACCATGAAGTTGTATTATCAAGTCACTCAACCAACAAGTTGTACTGTCAAGTCACTTGACCAACTTGTATTAATGTCATGACACTTGACCAACTTGAATTAATGTTATGTCAATTGACCAACATGTTTTAATGCCATGTCACTTGACCAACATGTTTTAATGCCATGTCACTTGACCAACATGTTTTAATGTAATGTCACTTGACCAACATGTTTCAATGTCATGTCACTTGACCAACATGTGTTAATGTCATGTAACTTGACCAACATGTGTTAATGTCATGTCACTTGACCAACATGTGTTAATGTCATGTCACTTGACCAACATGTGTTAATGTCATGTAACTTGACCAACATGTGTTAATGTCATGTCACTTGACCAACATGTGTTAATGTCATGTCACTTGACCAACATGTGTTAATGTCATGTCACTTGACCAACATGTGTTAATGTAATGTCACCTGACCAACATGCTTTAATGTCATGTCAATTGACCAACATGAGTTAATGTAATGTCACCTGACCAGCATGTGTTAATGTCATGTCACTTGGCCAACATGTTTCAATGTCATGTCACTTGACCAACATGTGTTAATGTCATGTCACTTGACCAACATGTTTCAATGCCATGTCACTTGACCAGCATGCTTTAATGTCAAGTCACTAGACCAGGATGTCCTACGGCCGTGTCACTTGACCAACATGTTTTAATGTCATGTCACTTGACCAACATGTTTTAATGTCATGTCACTAGACCAGGATGTCCTACGGTCGTGTCACTTGACCAACATGTTTTAATGTCATGTCACTTGACCAACACATTTTTAATGTCATGTTTACGCCTCATTTGATAATTCTTTGGCTGAAATATTTTTCAGAATAGAGTGAAAAAAAACAAGAGACAAACATATTTAGCACTGACCTCAGAGTGAAGAAGGAGTCGACAGACACGGTAGCATTGACAATGGCCTGGAACGTGAAGCGCTTTATGACATCCGGGAAGTAGCTGATGAAGTTGTCTGTAAACGATGTCAAACAGTCACACAATGATGATACTTGTGTAGAATATCAGCACCACATACTCATATTGGCACTATGGAATGATACTGTCATGATGGGAATATGCCAACACTGTGGTATGATATTGGCACTAAGATGTGGTATATTGACAGTAAGATATGGTACTGGCACTATGGAAATATACCAACACTGTGGTATGATATTGGCACTAAGATATGGTATATTGGCACTAAGATGTGGTATATTGGCGCTATGATGTGGTAATGTAGCAGGGCATGGAGTCATCCCACAGATGACATCCTTACCTTGTCAGAGGTTAACCTCTTAGGTCATGCGGACTATGCATCCGACTTCGGATCAGAAGGTCTGTGGTTCAAATCCCAGGACGGGGATCGGAAATTTTATGGTTGCTACAGTACCAGGGAATAATATTGCATGAAATAAAAACCTATGGAATGATATTGACGATATGGAATGATGTTGACGATATGGAATGATATTGACGATATGGAATAATATTGACGATATGGAATGATGTTGACGATATGGAATGATGTTGACGATATGGAATGATGTTGACAATAATAAAATTGACGATATGGAATGATGTTGACGATATGGAATGATATTGACGATATGGAATGATGTTGACGATATGGAATAATATTGACGATATGGAATGATTTTGACGATACGGAATGATGTTGACGATATGGAATGATGTTGACGATATGGAATAAAATTGACGATATGGAATGATATTGACGATATGGAATGATGTTGACGATATGGAATAATATTGACGATATGGAATGATGTTGATGATACGGAATGATGTTGACGATATGGAATGATGTTGACGATATGGAATGATATTGACGATATGGAATAAAATTGACGATATGGAATGATGTTGACGATATGGAATGATGTTGACGATATGGAATGATGTTGACGAGATGGAATAAAATTGACGATATGGAATGATGTTGACGATATGGAACAAAATTGACGATATGGAATAATATTGACGATATGGAATGATGTTGCCGATATGGAATGATGTTGCCGATATGGAATGATGTTGACGATATGGAATGATGTTGCCGATATGGAATGATGTTGATGATATGGAATGATGTTGACGATATGGAATGATATTGACGATATGGAATGATGTTGACGATATGGAATGATGTTGACGATATGGAATAAAATTGACGATATGGAATGATGTTGCCGATATGGAATGATGTTGACGATATGGAATGATGTTGACGATATGGAATGATGTTGACGATATGGAATGATATTGACGATATGGAATGATATTGACAATGTGGAATGATATTGATACCCTGGTGCGAAATTGGCATTACAGAGTTGCATCGACTCTATGGAATAATATCTATATTACCATATAACCATATCTATATGGATTGATATTGGCACCATTGAATTATATTTGCATTAGGGTTGATATTGGCCCTGGATATTGAGTCTCCACTGGCTCCATCTGATCCATGAATCTTCAAATGTAGAGAAACTATACATTTTAACCTAGTGCCCAAGACAAAGAAATGGGGTGATGAGAGAACCAACTCTTATAACAAACATTGCTGAAACACTCAACTGGTTATTGGTTCTTTGGTTTCTTATGTTACACATCCAGACTCACCTACACTTGACAGACCAAAGACATAGGTGTGCCCCAGGATTACCCATGTCATGGAGAGGAAGCGGATACCGTTGATGGCGGTGAGACTTCCAGCTGACTGTTTGGTGCTCAGCAGCTTGGAGGCGTTCGTGTACACAGAGAACGATAACAGGATCTTGCCACAAAGACCTACAAGGACATGTGTGTATATGTGTATAGATGTGTATACATAACAAGGACATGCTGTACATATATATTATACTTGATGACAAGGAAATGCTCTATACATCCAAGCATAAACAGATTTTATTAGATTTTAATAAGGGTACAGTGTGTGTTGTAACAAGGGTATAGTGTGTGTTGCAACGTGGGCACAGTCTACATACTAACAAGGGCATAGTGTGTATATTCTAACAAGTCCTCTTGAACAGGTCAATAAGAATCAAACTTGGTAAAGACTGTCTTCTACTAATACATACTTGGTTGAGGCTGGCTAAACTCTGGTTTCCCTGTGTCGCCAATCAGTGGAGTTGTCTCCTCTTGTCTATGCTTGATGTTCAGTGATGTGTAAGTGTCAGCTCCATTCAACAAACCATTTGCCTCAGCAGCCAACACGTACCAGCGTGGAAGCTGGATAATGACGATGTCATAGATTGTGCCAATCACCATTAGCGCAAGAAACACCATTGCCACCACACTGGAAACAAAACAGTGAAACGAATATTACACATGCATGGAGCAATACCTTTCCCTGAACCAGAATTCCTTCATGCCTTGGTACTTTATCAGTTTAGAAAAGAAAGGTCACATTGCCTTCTTGTTCCCAAATTGACAGATTAGTAGGTTAGCCTATTGGTGAAAGCATTCCGTCATCACACTGAAGACCAGGTTCGATTCCCCACATGGGTACAATGTGTGAAGCCCATTTCTAGTATCCCCCACCATGACATTGCTGTAATATTTCTAAAGGAAGCTAAAACTATACTCACTCATGCTCCAAACTGACATGTACAGAAGCATTGCCAAGACAAGCATGCTAGTATGTACTGGTAACATGAAAGTACAGGTCCTTCTGACCGCCTCCGTGGTGTAGTGGTTAGAGCGTCCGCCCGGAGTGCAGAAGGTTGCGGGTTCGATCCCAGACCGCGTCATACCAAAAGACGTTAAAATATGGTACTTGTTGGTCCCTGCCTGGCGCTCGGCATTAATGGGTACAACAAGGACTGGTCGGCTTGGAGTCAGTATAATGTGTCTGAGTGGGGTATTCATGCTTCACTGCGGCATGGTATCTCAGTGGGCTAGCACTATAAAACCAGCTTAAGTCTGGGCTAGTACAAGCAGCCGCACATACACATACACACGCATGCACGTCATCATATGAGCGAAATATTCTCAACCACGACATTAAACCCAATTTCACCTCACCTCACAGGCCCTTCTGTTGATAACTGCGTGTGCTGCATGCTCCACAACAGAACAATATGGTTGAATCATTCAAACCAAATTGTAGCAATGGTTGCATGCACATGCAACTCACCCTCTGATCGGATTCACTGGGTCACTAAGTTTGTTTCAAACCAGGCAACCCTGGAGGGGAGAGACATAAGAATGTACATGAAAATGTCATGATATTTATACCGGTAGTAGAGGAGTTGGCATGTTTTCCTGTTAGCAGTATACCACAACAATACAAGCCCTGCATGCTCTTGTATTGTCATCTTGAAACACAAAACGGTGTCTATGTTGGCACACAAATGGCACCTCATGTGCCTTCAGGAAGCTGTCATGGTAGCGCTGACCAGTGACATGTCTGCGTTCTGCCAGTCACAGTGATCCCACCCCAAACCATTACAGAGCCACCCCAAAACAATCGTTCTAATGAACAGCAGGTCATCCTGGTACCTTAATGTTCATCTCAAGACCTTTACATCATCCTTCGGGATAGAAAGACGCAGGTAAGTTACTGGTGTGCTCAGATCAACTCACAAGACAGCGATGGCTTTAGTGTCCCACTCCAGGTTCTCCTCCTGGCACACGGAGCGCTTGACCTTGAACTGTGTGGTGATGTTCAACTGCTCAAGCACCAGATCCAACACTGCAGGAAGACAAACACATCAAGGACCACTCCAACACTGCAGTGAGACAAACATAACAAGCACCTGCTCCAACACTGCAGTGAGGCAAACATAACAAGCACCCACTCCAATACTGCAGGGAGACAAACATAACAAGCACCTGCTCCAACACTGCAGTGAGATAAACATAACAAGCACCTGCTCCAACACTGCAGTGAGACAAACATAACAAGCACCTGCTCCAACACTGCAGTGAGGCAAACATAACAAGCACCCACTCCAATACTGCAGGGAGACAAACATAACAAGCACCCACTCCAATACTGCAGGGAGATAAACATAACAAGCACCTGCTCCAACACTGCAGTGAGGCAAACATAACAAGCACCTGCTCCAACACTACAGTGAGATAAACATAACAAGCACCCACTCCACCAATACTGCTGGGAGACAAACATAACAAGCACCTGATAGACCACTATACTGAGAGAAATATAACAAGAACCCGGATTAACACTACTGGTACTAGAAGAGAACATAACAAGCACCCATTTGAACACTCTCCAATTCATCGATAAAGTTGCATCTGTTAGCCTACCAATATCCCACTAAATCACTGGTTACAGTTAAATGAAGACAAAACAATGTATGACTCTCAACAATCCTGTGGCAGTTGGAAACTTAAAATTAAAAGCTAAACATTTAAACAGCCTGGCTAAATGTAGATCTACTTACTGTCATTGAGAATCAATGTTACATCTTCGCCACTACAGGAGTCGGGGAAGCAAAGTCCAATGGTGATGTCAGAGAATGACGGAGTATTTGGAGCTGGAGCTGGAGCCTGTTAAATAAAACATTCATGGGATTGGTCCCTTGGCACTGAAGCTCACATGCATTACGATGACGTCTTGTTTGTATGTTTGTTTAACCCTACACTCGGCAATAATCCAGCTATAGGTTGTCGGTCTGTAAATAATCGAGTCTGGACCAGAGAATCCAGTGATCAGTATCAAGAGCATCGATCTACGCTATCGGGGTATGATGACATGTGTCAACCAAGTCAGTGAGCCTGACCACCCAATCCCGTTAGTTGCCTAAGTATGGGTTGCTGAAGACCAATTCTAAAGCGGATCTTTACGGGTTTAAGATAACGTATTGAGTCAGATGTAACAAACACACTCCACACAAGGTTTAATTATTGACAATCAGGCATATTTGTATATTCTACTTCTCTAAACCTGATCGTGTCGGAACAACAGGGAGTTTATGCTTCCTTATCAAAGGTGACGACCAGTGTTCTGGATTAAGTTTGAAAGTCAAACCATCTATTCACAGCCTTAATGCTGAACAGATTATATTACCCAGACAAATGAAATATCCATGCATGGATATATAACATATGATACACTATACTGTATTATATATAATTCTCTTAATGACTAGCAACTGACGGTAGGGCTGCCCGCCGCTATTGATGTAGACAACAGAGATGGATAATAATTGACTAGTATCAATCGATTGTCCATGAATATCGGAGAAATACTTTTGAACAAAGGTGAAAAAATACGTCTGAAATAAATCAACATATTCAGGCGCGTAGCAAGCCAATTTTTCGTGTAAGCCCGATAAGTTGCAAAGCTTTATATTTAGATAGTATTGAGGGCTTGCCCAACCTTTTTAGCAAAAATCATGTGTAAGCCCGGCCTTTTTTATATAATGGTAGCTACGCCCCATCATATTTCACATCGCTGGTGACTTTTAACAATTTATTCTCACTGGGGAACCGGGCTGAAGAGGGATGCTGGCTTTGCAGTATTTCCCATTGAAGATCGGTTCTGTGACATTGTTGATTGTCTCCGTGGCCTTGACCCCCAAGCACTCATCGTATGATCCCAAGAAGTTGAGGTTCAACTGAAGTAGTCCACTGCCTGGCTTCCCTGCTGCATCAATCACTGGGGATAGAGAGAGAATATGTGTTACCATGGTTACCATCCCAAAACTCAGGGTAGAGAGAGCATACATGTTACCATAGTTACCTACGGGACATGTTTCACAATGATGGTAGGGACTTTCAGAGAATACACATTAATATGGTTAGTAATTGGTTACCTTCCTAGAAGTAGGTAAGTTCAATACATACATGTTACCAAGGTTACACCATAAACGCAGACACATATCTTACACCCAGGGTAGATATGGCATATATTTTACAATGGTTACCACACTCGGAAGTGATATCATCCAACTTGGAGAATACATGTTACCATGGTAACACTTTGAGTTGAGGGAACATTCATGTTACCTTGGTTACCATTCAATAAGTTAAATGTGTGTGTATGAGTGTGTGAGTTGAAGTGAGCATACATGCTTCATGTCCATCAATCTACCCAAGTTAAAACATGTGACATACAGTATTCTTTTTAAGAATTAAAAATGTTTAACCTAAACTAAAGTTAAGAAATCTGAACATGTTCAGTGTATTTTCTGTCTATTAATTTCCAGCATTTCAAGAACTAGAACTATTAATTATTTATCAAAAAGAACCACATCCCTGCAAGTCAATTTTGATTTTGTAACAAACATTTCTTCTGATCATAACACCAACCAGCATTACACCCGGGTTTTATGTAACGCACAAATGTGAGTCCAGTGAGCACAATTGTGGAGAATGGGCGCAGAAAACCCCCAATAGTGCTTCCGGGGGGACACAAAAACTACCCAGAGCGTACCTACAGTGTATCAAAGAGTACCTATCTGTGTCTGTCATTCACCCATCAGTCATGACCACGGCCCACATGATCACTGATTCATACCAGGCTCTGAACGTACACAACAACATTTCTATACTTTACAATACCCTCATATTACCAGCAAAGACCCATAAAATTGATTGATATGGGTACCCTGGATCCCCTACTTTTGTAAGTCACAGTAAAACCATGTTACACAATTTCTGTGGAGAGCATAGAGTAAATGTGTGACCTGCCACAGACAGCCTGGCCTTCACATAATAGTCCCCACTATCCTGAATAGTAGCAAGGGGACAGCAGCATGATACACAGTGTGTTTGTCACTTGGTGCTTTTGACCTTTTGCAGGTCATATACTTAAAGGCACTATTTCACACCACACTTCTCCGAAAATAAATAATGCATTTTCCTCAATAATACTATCAGCCCTCAAGGAAGCTACTACATAATTTATTTTAAAAAGATATATATGTATTTAGATTACAATATTAAATCAAAAAGTTCGAATGAATAAATGCAATGTTGCTCGGAGAGCTCTTTATGACTATCCTACGCACAACTTGTGATTGAAACCAGTAACAGGCCAGAGTATACCCCTGTCCCAGACTATACCCTGGGTTAAACTGGGCTAGCCCAGACTATACCCCAGGTATAATCTGGGCTAGCCTAGTTTATACCCCGGGGTATATTCTGAACTAGGCCATAGTATACCCCCCTAGCCCAGATTATACCCCTACAGAAAACAAGTGATTAAGGATACTACTATAATTTTATTGTACTTCTCACACAATTAAACACTGGTTACAACATTGAAATGGTCCGATACATTTTCAGATACAGATACAAAGCATAATCAGTGTGAGTTTTCAAGCTGAAGCTGGCAGGGTACATCAGCCATTGCATTGACTGACCAACTGCACTGTAAATATAAATGTCACATTTTAACAGACTGGCTGTTGACATAACTTCTGCATCTGTTGCCCACACTCCATCTCGTGAAATTCCCGAATTAGTGATGTACTCATTGACATTTTGGTTCAGGAAATGTTTTAGTTCATCATTAATGTCATTGTTCATATGCTGAACCACTCGATCTCGGATAGTGCTGTGACTGTCTTCGGATCCTGTCAGGCTGTAACTGATGCAGCGGAAGTAGCAGTTGCCGTCGCCTTTGGTTCTGTATGTCCGTCGGGGTGCTGTCAAGTCTGTTGATCTTCCGTAATAAATGTCCTTTGAAGAGTTCAGGCCTAATGCAGCAGCCAAATTCCTTCGAGCATTTTGGGGATAGGGTTGAACAAACGGGTTGACTTGATTTGTTTGGTAGTAAGGTCTGTATGGTCGCCTGACTCCAGTTCATCTCTGAGTCTTTTTCGTTGCTTCGAATCACTGGGGCTTTCGGCGTTGTCGTTAGTGGGTGGGTCATTGGAGTAGATTTTGAGGTTACTGGCGTGGTATGTGTTGTTCAGGATCTTGTTGGTTTTCACGTTCTGTAGCTTCACACGACCTTTGGTCAATGTCTGGACGACGGAGTATGGTCCAGTCCAGCGTGGCTCCATCTTGGCTCCAATCCTCTGGACTCGTCGGTTATTCTTGATGTACACTGTTGATCCAACAGCTATCTCCTTGTTGCTGGTGTGTCGTCGATCGTAGTTTTCTTTCTGGCGATCCTGTGCATTGGAGATATTGTTGGAAACAGTGGAACAGATGCCTTTGTGTAGATCGATGATGGTTTCCAGCACTTCTGGGCATGCCTTGTTAGGTGAAGATGCTGTAGCTGTGCCGTCATTCCCCTCGGTCGGTTTCAGGTCTATCGGTAGCTTGGCAGGGCGGCCGTACATCACCTCGAATGGTGTGCATTTCGTTGAAGCATGGACTGATGTGTGGTATGCGAACAAGACGCCAGGAATGTATTGGTCCCAATCATCAACTTGGTCATTGACGAGTTTACTCAGAGCCGCCTTTAAAGTCCTGTTGTCACGTTCCCGCTGGCCGTTTGACTGAGGATGGTACGCCGAGGTTATGCGATGATCCGTCTGGAAATGGTCCATGAGTGAGTCAATCACTTTGTTAACGAATTCACGTCCTTGATCACTGATCAATGTGTCCATGCAGCCCAGTCGACAGATGACATGGAAAAGAAACACTTTCGGGTTGATGACAAAGCACTTCGGACACGTCTTGACATATTCTTGCACGTCGTTCTTCATACCTTTCCAATAATAACGCGAGGATATTTTGCCGAAGGTTTTATCTCTGCCAAAGTGTCCACCTGTAGCTGGGTTGTCATCGCATGCTTTCAGGATGCTGGGTAGGCGGCTTTTCGTGAGCACTTCTCTTTCACCACGAAAGACAATTCCGTTTGCTACCCGAAATGGTTTTGCAGTTTGCCGAAAATGTGACTTCGCATTCAAACGGGTGTCAGGATCCAGGTCATAGATGTGCTTTGGATACTTCTTATCAGAGCTGTTGTAGTAGTTCAAGATCTGGGTATAGAGGTTGTCATCCATGTTGAAGTTTGAATGCGATATAGGAAATCAAATGAAATGCACTTTTAAATACCTGTACATGACACCGAGATCAGTCTCCAGAGTCACTCATTCATATTGATAAACAAATACCAGCCCCTACTCACACTATCACCAGCCCCTACTCACACCAGCCCCTTCTCACACCGGTTATCTCCCATTAGTTAGACAGCCAGTTGTTAGACAGTGGAGTAGGGTATTAATTAAGACAACACCCACCTCCAAAATGGTACAGCCCTAATTAGATTGATGAGTAGAGTGTGCCCGTAGTCAATCTGTTCATGTTGTTGTTGAGTTTCTATTACAATGTAATGTGTTTGTAGCATGTGGTTTAATCTTTCTCATTTCACATTTGACTGGTTTAACACTTGTCAAAATGTTTTGTTTAATTTTTTTAACTTATATGTTTTCTCTCTAAAAGTCAAACTAATTTGTGTCACAACAAGAAGGTAGGTATAAAATAATTCCACAAACACCTTGATGATCTCCATAGACCATCAAATCTCCCACAACAATAATAGAATAATTCCACTTTTTACCATCTTAAAATTGTTATAAATATGTATATATGTTTTTTTAACTTTTCAAATCAGTTTTTCTCTCAAATTTTCTATTTTTGGTTCCACCTCATTTCTTAATAAGTGTAATTCCCGTCAAATAAATACCTTAGTTAAAGCAGATAAAGCAGATAACTAACTACTAACCTTGATGATATATCAGCATGGCTGGGTTACGCAAAGTCGAAAATATCACATCGCAGAGAGGCACTAAACAAATGCTTCATAAATTTTGTATTATGCAGTAATGTAAATAAAATGCACCTACAAATTCCTTTAAATGACACCAAGACCATTGCCCTGAGTCACACACTCATATTGAGTGAATTGTCAACATAATTTTTTAGGGGTATAGTCTGGGCTGGAGGGGTATACTTTGGCCTGGTCCAGAATATACCCCCGGGGTATAAACTGGGCTAGCCCATAGTTTACCCCGGGGTATAATCTGGTGGGGGGTTATTCTGGGCTGCTACACCGGGTGGGTAGGGTAATGGGGGGTGGGGTACCCTGGTAGAAAATTTGGACCAGTCCCAGCCCTAGTGACATTGTGCCTTTAAATGCCAAATAGGTCCAGGTCATGATGTGTCCGAAAACTCCAGAATGTTTCAGAAAAACTGTTGACGCATTTACATTGACAAGATAAATAACCAGAATTGGTGACCTCATTTTACCTATCGTCTGTGATCGGAAACTGATCCATATATATGCGCATTTATAACCTTTCACTCATAAAGGATGGCAACTTTGTTCCCATAGAAAAGATTAAATCAACTCGCCTTTTTCGTCTGTTTATTTTCTAAATGTCTTCACCCACAATGTTTTCTTATGGCCGCAACATGTTGTTTATTACTCTCTGTACCACAACAGTGATATAAGTTTATTGTTATAAGTTTTATGTTATTACCGCCTCCGTGGTGTAGTGGTTAGAGCGTCCGCCCGGAGAGCGGAAGGTCGCGGGTTCGATCCCCGACAGCGTCATACCAAAAGATGTTAAAATATGGTACTTGTTGGTCCCTGCCTGACGCTCAGCATTAATGGGTACAACAAGGACTGGTCGGCTCGGAGTCAGTATACTGTGTCTGAGTGGGGTATTCATGCTTCACTGCGGCATGGTATCTCAGTGGGCTAGCACTATAAAACAAGCTTCAGTCTGGGCTAGTACAAGCAGCCGCACGTACACATACACACGCATGCACGTCGTCATATGAGCGAAATA